TTGGTGAAAATAAAAGATATCAGGTTTTGGTGACTGTTTTCAGATGTGACTAGCTGGAACTCAGTGCCAAGCTAACAATTCTATTGCCTTTGTAAGAGTTAAGCAGAGATATTTTTATTCAGGAAATATTTGGTGGTTTAACTCAACTATTCTTAAGTATTTTCCAAGAACCTGAACATGTTTCATAAATGTTTAGCTTCTTACTTTTTCTTCAATTTAATGAAAAATGAGTTTTTGAGCACTCAGCAAATGCAAGGCCAAATATTGTATTGAAACTAAGAATGTACAAATTATTTAAAAGAGGTTTATCAGTGCAGCCTTTTTTAAAGCACCCATGCCTTTTGAATGGCTTCAGTTCAGAGGTGGTATTGTCAGTTCTGACAGGTTCTGGAGAACTGGTAGCAGAAATTTTGAGTGGGGAGGGAATGGGGATTTTGCAGTATCCTTCCCCTGCCACGCCCACAAAGTCACACCCACAGAACCGGTAGTAAAAAATTTGAATCCCACCACTGCTTCAGTTGCTCCCAAGATACTGTTGTTCTTCGTTGTTTATACACTTGTGTGAAGAGAGAGCCATTTTTGCAGAACCCTAACGCTTCAACAAAGTTTATCCAGAAATGGATAAAATATGCAATCAATTCATATATTTAGTACCATTTACAATCAATTTATAAAATGTAATGGAAAATAATGCTTTAATCAATTCCTTTTTTTAACATCATAGATGATACTAAAAATCTTGTGTAATCTTTTCTAGTCTTCTATGCTGCAACTCCCATCATCCCTTGCCTAAAACACTAGATATATGAGCCTCTGGAGTTTACATTTTTTTTATGGAAGCACAAGTGTCAGCATCATCTAGTTTTTATCAATTACTTATATTTTCTGAAACATTTGCTTGGCTAGTCAAGACAGTTTGGTACAATGCACCCTAAGATTTAAACAGCCAAAAATGTGTGCAAATTGTGGCAGTATGAAACATGAAGGCATTAGTCATTGTGAAGATATTTTATTCTCTACAGGTTTCTTTGACTGCAGACTTTGAGATACCATTAATAAATTTCAAACTCTTAGTTTAAAATAAGCTGATCTGAGGAAAGTTCCATTCAGTAATAAGAATTGCCCAACAGTTGTGATTGACTTGCTACAAGAACCTTTACATTGGTTAGTACTATGGACAGCGCTAATCCCAAATTGTATAATTCAGATAACTTCCCCTATTTTAAAGTTTTTTTAATGCTGTATGTTTGATGTTATTGTTGCTGCTTTCATAATTGTCATAAAAGCTGCCATTCAAACATAAAGGGTAAGCTACTAAATAATTTAAATGAAATTAACATTGTAGGAAAATGAAATATGACATATAAAAGATGAAAAATAACAATATTAACTGCAAAATGTCCTCAAAGTAGTTTTGTAGCAAAAAATTACCATCAAACTATTGTTTTGCATGATTGTATTAGGCATGTCATGGGGTTTGTCAGTTTGGCCAGCTCTGGCACTTGTTTTCATAGCTCAGACTGGATATTTTAGTAAAATCAAAATAGAAGATAATCAGGATCCAACCTCTATAAAGCTGTAAGTTTTCTTGTTTTAGTAATCCAAAACAAATCAAACAATCAATCGGATACTGAATTTTAAGCCTTGTAATGATCCATCAAAAAACTGTTTATAATGTATTCTGCACAATTCAAACCTTAATTCCCAAAGGAACTACAACTCTCCAGCCAGCACTTATGAAGTCATGAACTTTTCAAGAGGAACTATCAGAGCTCCCATTACACTATACTGGATTTGTGAGTGAAAATTTGATTTTTATCCTGGCTTTATTATTTTAGAAGTAATTCAAGGTAGTTAAAAAACAAAATACTCCTTCCTCTTCCTATTTCCCCCCCAACAATCACCTTGTGATTTGGGTTGGACTGAGAGTATGACTGGCTCCAAAGTCACCCAGCTGGCTTTCAGTCTCATAATTGCTTCATAATTCATTTCCAATTAGCAAAACAAGCTATATTATTCTGCTTTCCTAATAAGAGTATGCTAATCTGTTTTAAGATGGCATTGAAGTGTCCCTATTCTAAGTTGATTTCTGCATCATGTTCTTGTCAATTGTTTCAAGTACTAAATGTATAACTCCATCAGTATGAAAAAAAATCCTATCCACCAATGTTATTGCGTAATATAGCAGACTTCAAGAATCTGGCTTGAACTCACTGGTTTTCACCAAACATTTCTTTTTAGCTCCCTCCTCTCTAATTTATCACATTCCTATATGGTACAATTGTTTTTTTTTTTTAAAAAAAACATACTAACACCACTACGTTTGACATACTTTGAAACAAGTCTTTATATGCTAGCAATCTTTTAGACATTTAGTACCCTATTACATCTTAACAGAAACATAAATGAAGTAGGTTGCTTCAATTTCCTTCAACATTCTACTATAATGAAATTTATTTAACCAATTTGATAATTATCCATCTCAACAAGTGACTCAGCGTGACAGAATTCTATACAGAATACTTTCAAAAAAATTTAAGTTGGGAAGATGTTTCCAATTTGGTTTCCTTTTTCTAATAGATATCAGAAATGCTGAGTACAATATTGTTGTCTTTATGATGAACTTTATGTTCTGACTCTTTGAAGGATATTTTAGAATTATATTGATTTATGACATATTTGGACAGATAGTCCAAATTCAATTGTTACAGAACCAATGTCACTGACATAGCCAATGCATGATCAAATACATTCCATTCCTCAGAAATGTCATCTCTGGAGCTGATGCACATAATCCCCCACATTGGGTAAAAAGGGGAAGAAATTTATTATCCAGAATATTCAGGAATCTCAGAAGAAAATGGCAACTTCCTCTCTTCTGAACTGAATTTACAGGGCATGTATAAATTCTGTTTGTCGGATAAGGAACATCCCATTTTTCCCAACAGCTCCAAAAGAATTATTCAGCCATGATTATTTCTCGTCAAGCTGTGATCTTTAAAATAACATACTGAATCATAAACAATACTCTTATTAATTCTGTAATAGGGAATACTTCCAAAAGTAATGCACACTTTTTTTGGATAGCTTCACAATATATTAAGAGGTAATTTCACAGGCATTATGTAATTAGTTAACCATTCAAATAAGAGTCAGACACATTTTTTAAAAATGCATTCCTTTGTGACAGTGGTAGTTGATTCCAATGCTCCATTTAGCCACATGTTCCCATTGTTGCTTCCTTCATAGGCAATCTTCAGCAGCAGGACATTGCAGAAAGACCTGCATTACAGCGATGTGTGGGAAGCTATTTCATTTGTGAACATTTGCCATGCAACGGTAGTTGGCATGTAACATGACACAGACTGCTTTTCCCTTTAAGTATTTATTTTGGTTATGGCTTCCTGAATTTAAAGACATGACATGAAAAAACAAAGCATCCCTTTTAATTGTTTTATTTACTTCTGTATACACAAACTTTTATGAACATGGATCACTGCCCCTCCATCTTGGCACCTCATCTAAATCTCCACTATCACTTTCTGAAAATTTTGTACGCCAACAAGGCTTTTAAGGAATCAAAGACTTGTTAACTCAACCATCTGTTATTTAACTCTAAAAAATAGGGGTGTGCCACAATGCAACACAGGTCTGTTGCCACTCAGTGGCTACTACTTCAGGTAGTTCTGCTAAAAATTGCAAATCCTGTCCTCTCTGGTAGGATTCACAATGCTAGTGCAGTTCTCCCTGGTCTTCACTACCATATTACCAGAGATCTGACAATTCTCTCCAGCTGCAACGATTTCAGCATTGTGCCATTTTTCAGAAACTATTTGAAGTAGGAAGAGTACTTTTCACACAATAGAAGACTAGTCCTTGAAAAACACCAAACCCTCGTGTTCTCACCAGTTATATTGGTTGTAGTAAAATAAAGGCTGAAAAAGGGAATTCTTATTCAGGTGACAAAAAAAAAGTTCTTTTGTCAACTTTTGACAAAAAGTGATATGAACTATCCTTTAATATTAACAAGAAGGGGGTCCAACTCTTAGAGAACCAGAGTGAGCTTACTAGATATTACTAGACTACGCAACTGTATATGGAGTGGAACAATGTTACATTAGTTACTGTAAACTATCCATCTGGTAGAGAGAAAATTATACAAGTTCAATTCCCAGCACCATGCTTCTTCCCGTGAAGGAACAAAAGAAGGGGAGGGGGGAAGGTGTTACCAGAAGAAAATAGAAATAATTTGCTGCAGCTGTGATTGAATCAAAATCATATGGTTGTGACGGGAACAAAATTAAAGGAATTATTATTAGTTGATAGACAATCATCACAAATCTAAATCAGAAGTTTTTATCTAGAGTGCAGATGGCTATCCTGGCTAAATATAATTATTATTGTAATAAAACCACGCTTGAACCCAATGAAGGGGCGGGGGCTAGAAACAGGCAAGAGATAGATAGCCAAACAGAATAAATACTTCAAGTAATTTGCCAAATAGGGCTCATATTGTAATTTGTCATTACCCTAGCAAAATACTGCATACTGTAATCAAGATAGACGTCAGTTTCCTCAGTAGTATGCACACATTTTCAGCTCCAAATACTTTTCTCGCATCAATGTTAATCATACAATTTGTAGCAGTAGCAGTCTTGTGGAACATGCAGTCCTGAGCTGCATGCAATGCCACCTACACATTATATATCTGAATGGCTGTCAAGCGTCCAGCCAGGCAGGCAGGCAGGAATCACAGAAAATATGTAATGAACTGCAGTAACTGCTTCACTTTAGACCCTGTTGATTCTTGGCTTCAACGTAACAAACAAACTATAAGTCTTCCTTCCAGATAATTAGCATTGTAAAAAGATCCGCTGGGAATAATTGCAGTTAATGCCAGCCAGCACTATACAGCAGGGATTAGAACTATACAGGATACAGCTCCAAAATAAAGTCTAAATTGCAAATTCATTTTACTTCTTGATCACATAAATATGTCAGGCCATTAATAGAGAAGTACTATCAGGATATTGTACCATCATAAGCTCTCAGGTAACAGTGAAGAATTTATGTAAAACATGTGATAAATATATCTTTAAGATATTTCCATGTTTTTTTAACTCTATCCCCTCCAGATCTAGACCTGTCTGGTGATAGTCAAATTCCACAGAAATAATTGCATATATTTGAGAATAGTGGATATTATGCTGAGTAAAGCTGGTGCTGCAGCCACTCTAAATCAAATAATGTCCCTATATGAAGTTTGAAGAGTTATATCAAAGTCTCATGAGGCAGAGCATGTTAGCAGCCAAAGCTTTTTAAAGCAGTTAATATAACTTCTTCAAGACAAAGCTTCCTGTTAATGGCATTAGACCATCAACGTCAGAGAGAAAAGAAAAGCACCACAGAGTAAGTGAGCAAATAGTAGGATGGTTAGTGAGAGAATATATGACACAACTTTCTTGAACAGCCATTACATCCTTAAACAATAAATGCTGAAGCAAACAGGAGCCTCACAGTTCACTAGAGAGGGTGCTAAATACCTATCCTGCTCCACAAGTATTTCCTTCACTCAGACTGAATAAGAATTCCTAAACATAGATTGTTGAAGAAGCCCGTTCTGTTTTATATCCCTTACACAGGATGTTCAGCTTTGAAACAAAAACTTTCTCTAGATAGCAACAAAAATAGACCCCTTTTAAGAAGGCAAATAAATAAGGAATTCATCACAACTTAAAAAAAAAAAGACATGTACAAAGTGCAAGTTTTCTTTTATAAGCCTAGCACCCATTCTGATTCTCCCACAGGTGTTTTGCACCAGAGCAATTATATAGAAAGATGGCACTCCTCTTTCAAAAAGCAAGCACCAACATTTCAAGATCCCTTCTCTTTTCTTATGGATGGGAAGATACAAAATATGGGGAAAATATACTGTTTTACAGCTCATCCTAAGGAGGGGTTCTAAAGTGCCAAGCTATATCCCCAAGCTCTAAAATGAAAAATAAGAGCTTGCAAGGGTCAGAATTTAGTAATGCATAGAACAGGTTGATACAACTGGAGGAACAGAATAGAGTTTCAAGAATGAAATATTGGTCCAGAGTATAAGCATTTTCAATCTTGCAATATGGTCAAGAAGCTGGACGTTTGCTTACTTTGGGAGGGCTGGGAAAGGGATAGGCTTAGTTGCTTCCCTTTCCTGCATTGCAAAAATTCTTTTGCTTTGTCAATCTCTGTGTAAAGGCAACATTCCTCTCCAAGAAGGAAACAGTGAAAAATATGTAGTGTAGTGATCCACTCTGCAAGAAAGGGGTGAGCTGGGTCAGAAAGGGGGGGGAGGTCCTTTAGTTATCTGACTAGTAATTTATTTTTGTTTAGTTTCTCTATGTTGAATAAGTTGCTTCTCCCCATTTATTCTGTTTTAAATACAAGTTCAAGTTGTCCCAATGCACGTGTGTGGCTCTGCTCCCACTATGGTCCTGCAGAATCAGAATCCTCAATTAGAACTTCAGTGGTAGCTCCAAGAATCTCTGTATTGATTACCAGCCCTTCTGTATTCTCACTACTAGCACTGCCAACAAATATTTTTCCATCAGCCATCAGGTTGACCCGGTCACCCCCACTGCAGTAGGCCTTAGGCATCCCTTCAGAGTTCAGCAATAGGCATTCTGCAGGAGTGGTGTTTCCAATGGGATCTGGAAGAAGGGGAAGGCCCTGGCCATCCGTGGGTTGGACAACAGACTCTGTATCAGGACCCAAGATGTCAGTGCTGGTAATGAGAGCCCCTGCGTTGGCTGCCAGTGCTTCAGCAATAAGCACTTCTGGGTGACTCTTGGCTTTATGTGCTACAACGCTGTCTTTTTTCTCAAACTTCTTTCCACATATATTGCATGAAAACTGGTAAAAGGTATCTGCATCATGTTTTTTCATGTGCCAGTTTAGTGAGGCCTTCTGCCGGCAGGTGAATCCGCAGATCTCACATCTACAGAAAAATGAGAGGGAGCAGAAGCAATTCATAATTCATCAGAATACTATTTGAGAAATACAAAGGGAAAAAAATATTGATGCAGCTGGTTTAATCCCTCATGAATAAAATAGGCAAGATCAAGGACACTACTCACTGTAATGGCTTCTCGCCTGTGTGGATCATTCGGTGAACTGCCAGATTGTGGGAACTTTTGAAAGCACGGGCACAGTATTCACAAATGTAATCCCTTTGATCTGTAAAGTGGAACATAGTATTTTACATCAAAACCTGAATCTAATCCAGATCCATAGCTATTCATAAAGAATCTGCCATATTCCTAATCACAATTTAAGGATAATGGTTTAAAAGGATAAATATTTTCCAATAGTGATGAGGAAGTATTTCTCAAATACAAACAGAATCTTATGGAAACAGTCCCATTCTTACTCTGAGATTTATATATTCTAGTTTGTTTTCATTTTCCAAGGAAGGGGAAATAAATTAAAATATTTTTATTATATCTGAAAGATCATATATACTATTCATTCTGTGTGTCAGGCACAAGGAACCAGAACAACTCTGTGAATAGGTCAACACAGCTCTTTTAGTGTAGTGAGCCATCCTTGATACTTCTCTGAGCTTGGTTGTTATATCCAGTTTGGGTAATGAAATGTCTGCCAGAAAATAATGAAGCTCAGATAGCATCAAGGAACACTCCCTCATTTCAACTCTGAGCTACAAATATTCTCCGTTATTGGTCTGTATTGTAGGTCATCTATATTACAAGAGTCTTGCCAGACTGGCCATTTTCCCTTGAGAACCAGAAGATAAGGTATTACTAACCTGATTTATAATACTTCCTCCCATGGAGCAACTCCACATTGACATGCATCTTTACTCCTCCCTCTCCTTTAGCCAGTGATTCTACCACATTGTGCCAACAAAAGCACATATTCATTCATTCATAGTCTATGAAGGTACAGAACATCATAATGCTCATTGTTTAATGACAGTGGGACTATTGCTTTCCATATACCAATGGAATTATGGGAGTTGAAGCTTACACCAAGAGATCACCTTTTTGGTAAAAGCAGCTGTACATATCTTAATGGAAATATGTTGCTTTTTGCTCACATTCCTTCAAACTCTTCATATATTATTTAAGGAACTTCAGATTTTGACAGGGAGATTAAAAAACAAGGAAGGTAGACAGTATGGTCCCAACCTTGTCAAAACTGATCTCTTTTTTTTTGGGTCAAAAGTGACTTCTGACAGGCAGTCTACTCCAATTACCTGATTTCATATATGGTATTCTAAGTTGTATCAATTGCAAATAATAATTCATCGCATAATATCAGAATCAGTGTAACTTATTCTTATCTATATCAGAGCTAAAAAATGAGGAAAGGAAATATTAAAAGACTGGAAGCAGTAATATCCTAACTGAATCCTTCAGTTTGAGTCATTCTCATTTTAAATATAGTCACAAAACAACACCTGTGTATCTGTCATCAAGCAATTTGCATCAACTTTGCATTTCATATCTATCTTAAAGACTATTAAAGAAGAAATTTATGTTCCTCCTTAAAGGGACAATATGGGGATTTTCTTTGCAACTCATATTACCTGTGTGATGTTTGGCATGCCGCAACAGTTGCTTCTGGAGCCGAAAAAGTCTTCCGCAAGAGGGATGAGGACATACATATTTCTTTTTCAGCAGATGTTGATATTTGATATGATGCTGAAAACAAAGAAAACACCGTATTTTTATTACTTGCGATCTTAATAGAAAAAAAGTGGTAAACACATTTAATATTCTAATAGCCACCTTATATTTCAATATAAATATACACATTAAGACATGAAGAACTTAAAGAACATATGCTGGAAATGTTATGTGTACAGATTTTGTAGAATACGAACACTTTCCCTCTTTTTTGGCCTCTTTGAGTTAATGTTGTATCCTGGCAATTTCCTGACCAGGAATTTTCTTGGCTTCACAAGTGGTTTGCCATTGCCTGTTTTCTAAGGGTGAAAGAATGTGACTGGTTCAAGATCACCTACTTGTCTTCATGTCTAAAGCAGAACTACAATTCAGTCTTAAGGTTTCTAGCCTGATGCCATAATCACAACACCAAACTGGTTCTTTTAATAGGAATACATCACAGATAATTTGGAAAATGCCTAAGAAATATAGAGAACTGAAGTTTTAAGGTTTAGATATCATCTCTACTAAATATCCCAATTTTGGAATTATTTCCCTTTAGTCCCATGACTATAACATGATTGTTTTCTAATTGATTGTGTCTATAATAGCCATTTTGTGAAGGGGTACATCCCAATTTCACCAATTTTGTAGCGTCCACATGATTTCCCAAAATTCCAGTGCCTAACATCCTAAATAGATGGAAATATTGCAAAAAGTTATAGGATGAAATAAGTGATTCAAAGGCTTCTGGGAAAATTTGAGACCAGTAATTTGTTCCCTAATAGCCAATGAAGTGTAGAGCTCAAGGCTGCAGAGGTAACAAAAGCAATGGCTTTATTTTCCATGTACCTAATACTAGGCACAATACAAAATTGTAAAATATAACATCAATACTTTATTACTGTAAACGCACTATGTCCCAATATATTCATTACCATTTTCTTAATTGAATAATCATTTACCATTGCCGCCTTGTTGGAGAGGGGAAGGGACAATTTCCCCTTAAGGTAAATATTGTAGGTGCCAAAAGAGAAAAAAAGGGTAAAATTGCAATAGTCTTTAAAGATTAGGACAAAAAGTTGATTGCAGGGTCTGTGAGAGGATCAGTAGCAATATAGGGATGTAAGAATTGAAGTTATTCAAAATAATGAGAATTCCATTATGCTTGGTCACAGTAAACCAGATGTTTAAACTGGATTTGGTGTTTATATCCAGCTGAGCCTTTCCCAAGGACTTGAGACAGGCATATGTTGTTTAAGAATTTTAAACGTATCATCACTGAATGTAAGCTGTTATAAGTAAAGCTAACTTTTGATGGTGATTTTTGTCAATGCCAATGGTGTTCAAATGGTGCTTTGGACATTTTGAGAATTAAACCCAATGCACCGATTACTATTGGCACTAGTGTCTTTCACTATAGGTATTCTACTTTTTTGCAGGTCCTTGTATTTGTGATTATTATCTCACTTTTAAAAATATAAATATTTGTTCAATTCTAAGCCAGTGCCTTCAGCATTAAACCAAACTGACTCAGTGCTGTGTGTGGGATGTGTATGAGTGAATGAAGGTGTGATAAAAGACCAAAAAGATTGCAATAGTCAAGGTAAAAGATTATTGTGATATAGAAAGGAATTTTACTGAAAGAAAAGAATGGAAGAGCTGGTTTTTTAATTTTTTGTTTAATGCAATGTGCTCTACATGGGGCAACCCTTGAAGAGCATTCGGAGACTTCAGCTTGTCCAGAATGCAGCCGCGTGAGCGATCGTGGGT